ACACCCACACCCTGACCTGGCTGTTATTTAGAATGAGTTCAACATTGGCAATTGAATTACAGTTAGGAAATTTGCACTGCAGTTTTACAACATCGTAACTGACTCGATTGGCAAGGACAAAGCGCTTGATACGATGTAAGAGAAACGTATTGAAGAAGATAGGCCATGATGACTGATGACACCAGGCACAAACCTGGCTCGTACTTGAGGAATCTTCGTTGAAATCTACATCGCAGAAATCACACCTAGCGGCTGCAGCGTTGCCATCCTGATATCTACATCCGGTGCCACTGGAAATATGCTCACATTTATTGGTGCTTAGATCGCCACTGAGAGCAAGTAACGTGCCTTGTTCATCTTTCAGAGTCTCTTTCACAACGACCATTCCACGCAGTGTTCGTCGAAGATTGTCCAGATTGTTACATCCATCGCTCCCAACCCTTACTACCAAAGTAGGTAGCTGAGACATAAGTGACAGTATCACCAAAGCTAGTGTAGTCATGTAAGTCAGTGGTTCCCTGGATCATGATACTCTCATGTGGTTCACTATACCAACGAATACCAATATGGCATTCTGCTTGTGTTGTGTCCGAAAGCTGACAGTCCGATGATGATTCAGGCAACGTATCGATGGTCAGATCAACGCCAACCATGCTAATTGTAGAACATTCATAGCACTTCAGTGATTTCACTGAATATTTACCCACGACGGTGAGAAGTATAACAACAGCAAACACACGACGAAACATTTATAAACAATGAGAAGATGTCTATAATATTTGTGCAAAATATACCTTTGTCTTGCTCTAATATTATTATGCAAGATAAGAGAAATTTCAGTGAAAATACGAACCGACAGGTAATCTTGACGGAGGGTGTGGGTATAGATGATACACTCACACCCATCCACATCCACCCACACTCACCCACACCCAATATTCCTTTTAGACGAAATTTTCAGAGTATTCTACTTACCTATATATCTACCAGTGGGAAAAATGGGTGCGGGTGTGTCAGGGCATGGTTGTGGGTGCGAGTGCGGGTGTGTGAGGGTGTGGGTGTGGGTGTAGTGTGGGTGCGAGTGTGGATGTTTCAGAAAAGCGATTACTTATCTCCACATCTACGTCCACAGAGATACCCACACCCACACACAGCGACACTCACAGCAACATGCACACACGAAAACCCACATTTTTTCGTTAGACTTTTTGAAAAATCATTAATTTGGCGGGAAAATCTTATCTCTGCCCAAAGTATACTTCGATGAAAATCTGTTGACAAAGTCATTTCGACGAAATTACATCGCTGAAAGTTTCTCAAGAAAAGTATCGCTCGACGAAAAACATAGCATCGATAAGATATAAAAGTAACAGAGAAAGACAGAGATAACATATTAATAGGAAAGATAAAAATAGAGTGAATCAGAAGAAGCTGTTTTTTCTCATCCTTTCTGTCCTGCCCTATCGAATGCTATTTAAACAGGTAGCATATCATGCAAAATTACATCTCATCGTTATTTCTCGAAGCTCTTACATTCTCGCAATCAGCATAAGATGAAAAGTGCTAAGGTAGCCATGATTCTAGCATTATTATTTTTAATAATGAACGGTACAACTGGGCAAAAAGAACTTACAATACATTCGTCTACGACGATTTTGATTGCTTCAGTGGAGCGCTGATTGTAGTTGAATAGGGTAATAATATTGCTGAACGACTGACTTGTCAAAATAATTCCTCAACTACTATTTGAAACCTCATATTATAATTACACCATTACAATTCGAAGTGAAAAATAGCTGAACAAAATCATACTCATCATTATCTACCATACCTGTGAGCTTCCCATATATAATATATCCTAACCATTTACTCAACGTCATACAAATAAATGAATGAAAATATTGTTAAAATACTTCCGCAGTTACGTACACTCACTCCATATAACCAACTCCACAGTATACTTTCAAAGAACACTCGATAAACTAATACAGCCCTATTAATGACGAGTTACTTTTCACGCGATCTTCATTGCTCTCAGAAACTACGAACATTCATTTCCCAGTGCAAGGGCTACTCGGACGGACATGTAAAAACCAGTCACTTTTCCTATAACATTCCACGAAAAAAAACAGACTGTAAGATTCAGTCTGAAGTGAGCTCACTTGCTGAATGGGCTGCTGATAACCACCAATCCTGTGTGACATCATCATCCGTATTAACACGCCCTGCATTCATTCACTCTGTAGTAAACACTGTTGTAGAATGGAACCATGATAATAATTATTCAATTCTTATGGAACTATGGTTGTTAACAAGTACTTCACGTATAAAATCTGAAGTGCGCTCAGTTCCTAAATAGGATCCTCTTAATCAATATTCATTTCACATGTGATCATCATTGGTAACAAGTGTTGTAAGCACTCACTCTGACGGGAACTCAGTTACTGAACGGACTCCTAGTAATGATTATTCATTTCTCATGTGCTTATCACTGTAAACAGGTTCATGAAGCATTCGCCTTCAATTGAACTTGGTTGTTAAATGCACTGCTGCTAATAATTATTCCTCTCTTATGTAAACAGCATCGTTAGCACGTTTTGCAAGCATTCACTCTCAAGTGAACTTGGTTGCCCAATCCCCCCTCTTAATAATTATTCTTTTCTGACGTAACCCACATTATTTATGCATGCTGCAAAGATTCACTTTGAAATAAGCTCAGCTGCTGATCGAACTGCTTATAATAATAATTCCTTTCTTACATAATAATCACTCGTTACGCATGCTGTAAGGATTCACGCTGAAATGATTTCAACTTCTGAATGGGCCTCTCCTAATAACTATTCATTTTTGATAGGATCATCAATCTTTTCATATCTTAGAAGGATCTACTTCGATGTCAAGATAGTCACTGAACGAACTTCTGCTAATAGCTATTCATTTCTCATGTCATCGCTAATGTTCATTTATGCTGCAAGAATTCGTTTTAAAATGAACTCGGCTGCTGACCGAACTGCTTATTATAGTAATTCCTTTCTTATATAATCATGACTCTTTACACACGCTGGAAGGTAAACACTCTCAAGTGAACTCAATTGCCGAATGGACACCTCCTAATAATTATTCATTTCTGATGGGATCATCAGTCTTAATAAGTGGTGCAACCATTCACTCGGAAGTGAACGTAATTATCGATTGGACAATTGGTAATAATGATTCCTCTCTTATATAACCATCATTGTTTTCACGCGCTGCAAGGTAAACACTCTCAAGTGAACTCAATTGCTGAATGGACACCTCCTAATAATTATTCGTTTCTGATGGAATCATCAGTCTTAATAAGTGAGGCAACCATTCGCTCGGAAGTGAACATAGTTGTCGATTGGACAATTGGTAATAATGATTCCTCTCTTATGTAACCATCATTATTATCACGAGCTGCAAGCATTTATCCTGAAACGAACAAAGTTGCTGAAAGCATTCATTTTCAACAATGTTTGTTTATGATATGATCCTAAGAGTTAACTGGTGCTGCAAGGATTCACTCTCGAATGAGCTTAGCTGCGGAATAGACTCGTGGTGATTGTTGTTGATTTCTCATGTGATTATCATTATTAACAGGTGCTGTGAGAATTCATACTGGAGTTAACTCAATTGATGAATGGACTTCTGCTAATAATTATTGGTTTGTTATACGGTCATCATTCTTAACAAGTGATACAAGCATTCGTTGACGACTGAACTTGATTGTTGAATTCATGCCTCCTAATAATTAGTCTTTTCTTATGTAATCATGATCGTTAATGGGTACCGCAAGTGTTCGCTCACAAGTGAAGCTAGCTGCTGAGTACACTCTTTTTAATGACTATTCATGTCTCATATGATCATCAATGTTTATACATGCTCCAATGATTCAGATCGAAGTGAATTAAGGCGCTGAATGGACTCCTTTTGATTATTACTCATTTGTCATATGATTATCACTGTTAACAACTGGTGTCCGCATTCACTTTGGAGTGAACTCAATTGCTAAATGAACCTCTTCTAATAATTATTCATTTCTCACGTGATCATTATTGCTATTAGGTGCCGGAAGCGTTCAA